GCAACTTACAACAACACAAATATGTGTTACAACAACTACTCTATAGTACCAATGCTTACCTATACATATGTATGTATGTTGTATGTAGAATTGGTTGGATGCTGCAAGTACTACATGTTTAAATGTAATGCAACGTTTAACTAATGATGGGAAGAATTTAACCTAAAACCATTATTTCATGTTCTCGTCAAATATGGATATAAGAAAACAGTTTTAATGTGTATCTCGAGTTTGTGTTTGTGTGTGTGATACAGTACCTTGAGAAGATCTTTAAAAAATCCTTTTATATTGATATATTGCTGCAAAAGTTGTTGTTTTTTTTTTTTGCAGGCCAAATAGCACAGATGTTAGCCACTAAAGACTGACCTCTTGCAATAAATACAGAAATTCATGTTGTCATCATAAAATATTTATAATCATGTTGATGTTGAAGGAGTTGATCTTCATCTTATAATTTGGAGAAATCTGTTTGTATTGCTTTGGTTAATTTATTTTGAATTGTTAGGGAAGGAATGTGTTAGATACCCTACATTGTTATAATAGGGTGGGAACTATGTGTTCTTATATATACATGAATGTATATTTTTTAAATTTTTACCAATAAGTACAAAATTTAAATACTTTAAGGAGAAATAAGATATACATGAAGATCGTAGCTCTACATATATTGTAGCTCCGTTTAGAATGTTGTTAACTTTGCGACGCTTCATCCGATCGTTGCGTAACTGTATAATAGGGGTGATTGCTTACGTCTATAGTATGCTGATAAAATAAGAAGAATTTTTATCAGGTTCGTTTGTGCTTTATTATCCGGAAGCCAATTAAAACTTAAACGGTAATTCTATTTTTGATCATTTATTCATTACATTCATTTATGCCAAAGTAGAGTAACATTCATTTGACCTGTGCTGACACTACCACAGATCTCTGAAAGTAATATTTTAACGGACATCTTTATGATGATGTTTCTACTATTTATTTGTAGCATAAAGCAACAAAACAAAAAAATAAAAAAACATAAAATGACTTTTATTTGCCATCATTTGCCTTGTGACCATAATAAATCGAAAGAACGTGATGTGTTCCAATACAACTTAAATTCCTCATAGAGTGTGTGGATAGATGCTTCAGCACTCAGCATCATAATGATGCTGATGGTGATGATAATAGTAGTGATGCTGATGATGAGCTCTCATTTAGATGAGTTTTAATATCAGCAGTTTTTCTAGTCCATACTTGATGAAAAACTAAAAAAGAAAAACAAAACTTACAACAAACACTTGAATTGTTTTATAAAAGTTTTAAGGCATTTTTATTTCTGTACTCGTACATATGTCGTTTGTAGTTTTTTTCTTCATGTTAATATTGCCACATATTTTATGATTATATTACTTAAGTTTACAACACCATATCCACACTTTTACATGCTTCGAATTATTGTGGGCCAGTACATTAGACAGGTCTTTGTTATGTGATCTTCACATTTATTATTTCCACTGAATATAAAATTTTGTAATATTTGAAATTAATCCATATTAAACAAGTAAGGAAATATATTCGGACATATAAATAGGCCTCGTACGCGAGCTAAAAGAGGCTTATCTTCCAAATATCATCTGGACGGACAGATGGAAAAGCTTAAACGACTCAGAAAGTTGATTGGCATATTTTAAGGTGGTTATAGATCCAATATGTTTGTGCTTCACAAGCATAAGCACATATACTACTACATCTACTAAATAAATATGAAAAATTTTACAAGCTTTCCAATGATATAAAAAAACTCGAGAAAATTTTACATTTTCTTTTCATAGTGCCCCCCTAATGAACATATTTACATTAATATTTAAGCACATAACATGTCTTCAAGTATTTATCTATTTAGTGCTCTTATTTTTCCCCTTTTCTAGATTTTTTTTTTTGCAAATTAAATATGTCTATAATAAAATTATTATTACGAGTAATATTTAAACCATGTTGATATTATATTAAAAACAATTAATCTTACAAACAAATCACGGAAGAGAAACGTGTTTATATAAAATTCCTAGAATCATACCGATAATCAAAATTGCCTCGAGAACCAGTTATACATTTAAAGTGATTTCTAATAAAAAAAAAACGAAATGTGTTTTTACAAATATGGTGCTAAAAGGACAATTCTTTGAATTTAAGAAATTTAAATTTAAAATATTCAATAATAATTTACATTGAAATTATCAGAAAATTACAAAATATCTACTTTTGATCTTGTATATGAAAAAGTTTATTCATCTTGTCTGATCTTGTTTAAATCGCTACCATTTATTTGTTTTCCTATATGGAAGGACTTTACATTCTCATTTTGTTTCAAGAGTATTTTGAGAACTTTGACAAAAAGAAATAAATTTTAAATTTTAAAAGTATTGGGTGGGAATCGAACTCGAGCCTGAAGAACTCCGCGAACTATTCATATTTTGAGATCAAGAAAAAATCAAGCTAACTTCTGACACCCAGTTCCGAAGTGAAACGTATCTGCAACTATCGATACAAATAGAAGTCGAACGGGTCAAGGTTTGGTCTTTAAGGCCACATGTGACAACAGAGCGTTGTTGTTGCAACAGCTGAAACTATACAAATTTAATCAGGGAGTTCTGCATTAAGATCCAAACCAAGAAATTGGTCAACATTGGGTTAAGTGAAGTAGGTTGGGCTGAAGAGAATATGTAGTGGACATCTTGGGGATCCTAACCACATGCTGGCATTGGGGACGGCATGATCTATGCGGAACGAGTAGGCTTTGACCCTGTTACTCTATCCAGATCTAAGTTGTTCCTGAATAACTCTTGTTTGCCACGGCAAGTTCTTCTCCATTTCTGCATTGGGCAGTGGGCTACTTGAAAGCGCGGTATTGTTGGGATCTCTATGAATGTCGTTCAAAACTGCTGCATACTAATTAAGATCCAAGGTATCCTGCACATGGAGGTTCTTCCTGACATCCATCGGGAGAGCGTGCAACTGTGTGATGTTAATGTTTGTACTCCTCCGGCCATATTTGTTACGGAACGCGTTTCTGGCGACATTTAAAGCTAACTCGGGCATGTAAAGACCTAAGGTGGTTTCAACCCTACTCACCAGATACAGAACCGAACAGTAAATAGGCGCTACAAAAACACTACATTATAACTGACACTACATTAACAAATCAAAACACATGAAGAATCCTGTGACAGTTGACATTCTCATCTGCCCTCCCGACCGTGTCATAGCAGCATCCGCTAGCAACTCAGCTTACGACCAAAATCCACATTGACCTCTTCTCCATTTACTTCTCCACGCTTTTATGTCTGTTTAGCATCTATTTGACAGATTGGCCGGGCTCTTGCGCTTCTTTTCTGTTATTTTCTTCGTACACGAATCAGTCTTATTCAATGTAGGTTATCTCTGATGGCCTGGTCAGGTTTTGTAGCTCCAACCAAAACAGAGTATTACCTCAACGCCGTCGATATTTTGCATCGATTCGGCTATTTAGCCGGTATCTTACGCTTCTTTTTTGCTTAATTTCTTTCATACTGATCAAGCCCCCTTTCTAGGTCTTTTGACTTCAATTCGTTTTGGTATCTAATTTCCCTTTTTTTGGATGAATTCTACGGGTCATAAAAGTTTTAAATTGGTACTATACATTATAACTATCAGTGATTGTGCCAGCTTTTTTAAGTTTGACAATGATCTTCATGGAGTAATGCCTCCAATTCCTGGTTTTCAAACCTTTTTGACTGGTTCAGGTATTGAAAACCTTGCAACTAACCATTATGCCGGGCCAATTAAAATTTATTAATAAATCACTTACTGCAAAAACGATGTTAACAAAAAATTTGTAATTGATTAATAAAACAAATTAAAATATTTAATAATGATATATTTGTTTTATTTTTTAACAAAAGATTAAAATACGCTATATTTATAAACAAATAATGAACAAATTTACATTTTAAATTAATATTTTATATTAATATATTTTAAAATATGTATGATTAACGTAACATTTGTTAAACAATTTTTGCTTACAAAACTTGTCAAATTAAATTTCTCTAATTTGTAATTGAATAATTTAAATTGCAAATAAATAAAATATTAAAACATTTAGACACTTTATAACAATAATCAAGACATAAAATTAAATATTCTTATACTATTCTTATAAAGAACAAAATGTAAATAATCTTTTATTTGAAATGACAAGAACAACCACAGATTTTATAAAAAAATTAGCATAAAATTAATTCGAAGGCAACTTGTTTTAAATCACTGTTTAAAAACACAGATGTCTATAAAATGATTCATTGGAAAATATTTTTAACTGAGAGTATTATCAATAAAACAGTTGGTTTATGTAAAAAATTATTTCAGAATTCTGGCAAGAATTTTAAATATTTTAAAACAAGGGGGGTTTTTAAAGTTTGACTCATTGAATTAGTTTTGTCGACATTGTGACGTAAAGAAGTCATTTATTATTAATTAAGTTTTTAATACAAATTGACTGTGATAACGATTGATTCACTTGGGAATTTTTTATTAAATATTAATTTAAAAAGAACAGAATTCTTTGAAAACTTAAAAAGTTTTAAAAGTAAACTTTGGCTTAATTTTAATATTGTGGTTAAATTAAATGGATTGATTAAAACACAAGATTAAGAAATTTAAAATAATTAAAAATCATGGATCAAGTAACATTAGTTACATTTAAAAAATCTGACTATCCCACATTCTATAGAAGATCAAAATTACTCTTTAACAGTCAAGGTTTAAATTCAATTTTGCCCACATAATAATTTCAATTTAAATTCTTCTATGCAAAAATATTTATGCAATTGCCTTGGGAATTTTAACAAATGTTATTTTATTGTATTACGCACAATTTAAAAAAAATCCAATTAGTTCCTACCATTTATATTATTTCGCAAAATATATTATATTCTCTTTTAACCCCCGCCCCTTAACGTTTCTCTTCTTCATTGCAGGATAATTTGCCAACAAACCAATATTGTGGAAATATTATCCAAACAAAATCAGACAACAAGAGACATACAAAGTATTGAGATTCAAACCGAATGCAGTATTTTAATTACGCCCTACAAACTTCCTCACGTTTCCTAACCTCAACCACAGCAACAACTACTGCTACATCCTCAACGAATACCTCAAACCTGATAAAAACGTCAACAACCAACAATTTGGCCTCCCCCTCTAGCCACAATCAAAATTCAATCAGTAATCCCTGTATAGATAATTTAAACGCCAACATTGAGAGCCCATCAACGTCCACAAACACACCACCACCAACAAACAACAGCTCTAGTGATTTGGATCCAACACAAAATCCATGAAATTTACTTACATTTAATGTTAACTTTGCGCGAAACAAACTGTTATCATTCTTTAATCGCGACATGGCCGCTACTGATGGCCAAATAATATTGGCCGCATCCCGCTTTGGGGACTCGACATCATCGCCACCCGTTTATTTGCGTGACTTTTCGAAACAAAAACTACCGGCTGTAGCCAAAATTGTCAAGGGTCAACATCAAAATCTCGGCGTACCCACACTCTCAGCACCATCATTACAGAGTACGGCGCTCTTTTTAAGTTCGGGCAAAAAATATCAAATTCTCGCCCAGCCCATAAAACTAAAAGAGGGTCGTAAGCCTACAAATGTTGGTGCTAAGGTTCTAATACCCGAAACGTATCCTGGCTATTTTGAGCTGCTGAGCGAAGATGGTCGTTCGACGCGTTGCATCGAATCGGTGTTGGAGTTGTCGAAACGTCGCAATTGTCGCGTTTTGGTGCGTGAAACATTTCGTTGTCCCCAGATGAGTCGTACCATACATGCGGGTGAAATGCTGACGACCATGAACGACAATGGCAAAGTGTTGCAGTGTAAAAATATCAAGGATGAGATCATAAATCTGCCACTCGATACCAAAGCGAAATTTTCACCTATAGCTAAGGAGGATAGTATAAGCGGAGTTCATACTGTGAAGAATCTATTATTGAAAAGAATGCCAGTTGTTGTGAGGTAAGTTAATGAGAAAATAATTTTTTTTCGTTTTTAAGGTCCTAATCTAAATCAATGTGTGAGTGGTGTAGAGCAAAGGATGTTGTCTTAATTTTCTTAAGTTCTTATCTAAAAATTTTGAATTGAATATGATCAACATCTTCATTTATTTCCATTATTCTAAATAAATAGGAAAATTTACTACAAACCTAACCTATTTATCAGGAGAATTACGAAAAATGCAGATTGATGTCATGGTTTCTACACCTCACATAAAACTCTCCCTTCGTTATTCGTTCAACATTTCTCTTGTACATTATTGTTAGACGATCCTTAATACAGGCCAACAAATTTTTGAGCACAGAAACCTAAGTATACTTCCTATTTGTATGCTGCGCTGAGTCCGCATCTGGTTTTCGAGACATCATGTCTTAAAGTTTCAAATACCTTGTTTTTTCTCAAAAAAATACGTTATAATAGCGAGAAGACACCTTTATTTATCTGTTAAACTTAACATAATGATTTAATCTCCATCTTCTTTCTTTAAGAAAATATATCTAGATCTATGGATTTCGAATTTTTTCAATCTTTATTGGCCTGTATAATCGTCAGTTAGTCCATCTTTTCAATCTAACTTGATCTTTTAAGAAACAAAAATTAACATTATTTTTACTTTTTCAAAATGTCGCTCAAATCATGCAATAATCACATTTCGGTTTTTTCTACTTACAGATTAGTTCATGGTAGCGTACCGAAGGGTCTGAAACAACCTTTCGTACCGGAAATGCGTCTTTTGGGCTGTGTTGAGATTGATCGTATTTTTGCTTTGCCATTGCAAAAAGATAATGACTTGGTGCCAGTACCCCTAAATGCTAAAATCAAATTGCAACGAGCCAAAAATATGGATCAATTGGAACATTTCATCGAGTACACACGATTTCTCGAGAAAGCTCAACGTCTGCTAAGCGATGCACGTGATCGCTTGCAAATAGTAGATATTAAGCTGTCGGAGAAAGAGAAAAAAGACTCGAAATTTAGCAGTCGTAATAAATTACCCGTGGTTATGTTGCCATCAGCAGCCGGTGTAGCGTATGTGGCCAATGGTCTGTTGGAGAACGGTTATATACTCAAGCGTAGCGCCAGCTGTGATTCGTATAGTAAAAGTCAACCGTCTGCGGAAATATCGGAAGATTATAAAGATATTGATCATATATATGATTATGTGAGGGGTTTGACGCCACTGTCGAAAGCTTTAGCACGTTTTGAGCCCATCAGTGAAACGCCCACAATTAAGTCACAATATACCGATAGTAGTGGTAACTATTGTAGTTTAATACGGGTTAATCAGAATTCAAGCAGCCATAATAACAACAGCAATAACAACAATAACAATAATTCTAGTAGCAATAATAACAGTTTAAATAATAGTGGCAATGGTGGTGGCAGCAACAACAACAACAACAATAACTCAAATAATAACAACAACAATTATAGTAGTCTGGAATCGAATAAACATACAAACACCAACAGCAGTCACAATAGCAGTAGTAATCAGAGTCATCAACACCACCATCATCATCATCACCAGCATCATTTGCCAGCCGCCGTTGGCCCACAGTTGCAACATCACAGTCAACATCATCATCATCAGAATCATTCGCATAATCATCCCACTTCGGGTGGAGGAGGAGGCGGTAGTGGTGCTGGCGGTGGAGTAGTCAATCACTATCAACACTCACATGTCCAAGAGGATATTAAGCCAGTGCCACCACCAATTGAAACAATACCGGGTAAAAAATTACCAGAGAAACGTCAACGTCCCACACTACCAAAGCTTTATTTGAAAAATTCTCATAGTGCTGGCAGCAGTAGTGGAGGTGGTGGTTTGGGCAGTGGCAACACAACCAACACTAGCAGTTCCAATGGTAGTCATCACAATAATCATCACCACAGCCATCATCAGCAACAGCATCCGCACAGCAGCCATCATCATCCAAATTCTCATAGTCATCAAGCGTCGGTGGTAAATGTAACATCATCATCCGTGGCCGCCGCTGTGGCAGCCCATCATCATACGCATCATCACCATCATCATGGTAATGTAGCAGCGTCTAATGGCAGAGTTTTGACACCAAGTAATCATCATCATACGCCCATTAATGGCAATGTGGCACCTTTAAGTGCTGGCATCCTAAGCAAAGATTGTGGTTTAGAGCCTCAGTCACCATTATTTCATATCAGGTGAGTTGTAAAGTTGCAACTTTGTATGTGAGTAAGTACTACAAGTAGAATATTAAGGCCTAATTAAAACTATAGTTTGGGTGTTAAATGCAACGTGTTTTTGTTTTTTTTTTTATCGCATACTTACTCCCACATAAAGTTTGTTCCTTGTTGCAATTATGTTGTTTATAGTTTTAGTTTTCATGTCAAAGTTTTAATGTTTCCTTAAAATTTAGTAGTAGAAAAATTATGTGTTGCTAGCAAAAATAAAGAGATTTTACATTACCGAATATTGTAAACTTGATTACAAGGTAATTAGCAGCTCCAAATTTTCATAACAAGTTAATTTTTTAATTGAAATGGAAGATGGAGGCTTAGATAGTGATTAACAATCTTTGGATTTTCACAACTTTGAGTTTTTCTGCGGACTTTTTGCAAAGTTCTTAAAACGGGATAAAAAACGATGTTTGTACATTTTTACAGTCATCTTATGAGTCCTAAAAAAGGCTTCCAATTTCAATTTTACACAATCCGTTTTAGATTTGGATTAAAACTTCTCAAAAATAACCGAAAGCTCTTCCAAATATTAAAAAAGTTATAAATTTCGTGCTCTGTGGCACATGATTTATCTTAAAGCTGAATCAAAAAGCTTGCATCTTTTCATTGTAATCAAAAGATTAAAACTTTCCTAAAGCTTCAAACTAAGTAATTTTTTTAGATCCAGAAAATCAAGATTAAAGTATATCAAAGGTTTCGAAAGCTCAAGGGTATTATGCACTTGTGATGATTAATATGTGTAATGACATAGATCAAGCTAAAAGTGCAGAAATTATCTCAAATGCCACAAAATATTTAATGTTTTCAGATCCAGAAAGTTAAGATTAAAATATATGAAAAGCTTCGAAAGCTCTCGAGTATTATGCAATTGTGATGGTTGATATTTTTAACAACATAGACCAAGCTAAAACTTCAGCAATTGTCTCAAAAGCAATTTTCGACATTCCACACTTTGGGTCCCATATTCAAGGACTAAATTCAAACCCTAAACCCAGAAATACCTCGCCTAGTTAGACAAGCCATATCTTTCGGAATAACTTCTTAGATTCAACATCGTTGAACTATGAAATCGTAATAAAATTAGTTAAAAACTCCAGTAACCTAAAATCTAAATAACATTTCCATATATAGAATATTTAGAATAATAAGATCTTTTTTTAAGTCATCCCCCATTTCACTCCCCTAAATCCTTTTTCTTATTTTTTTTTTAGATATAAAAGTCTCAGTAGTCTTCAGTTGACACCCGATAGTAATTCAATTTCACCGCCGATCTCAACAAATCCCAAAGGACAACCAGTCGTTGTGGCACCACCCGATCTAGTACTTAAATGTAATAACAATAATATTAACAACAATCAACATCCAATACCACTGCCGTTAAGTAAAAGTTCTAGTACCACTGGTGGTCTAAATGGAATGCTACACAACGTCACATCATCTTCACACAGTCACAATCATAATAATCCTCGCGAAGGTACACTCGACTCATCACGCAGTGGTGGTCGTACATCAGGCGATTCCAATAAATTGCCCGAAAAGAAAACACGACGTCTGTCGCGACCACGTAGTCTTTCGAATTTAGTCTGGGATTTAAGGCCATCCAAAGAGAAATCCAAAAAGAAATTATATATTCATCATTTTGATCATCGTCAGCAGGCGACTTTGTATTTGTAGTCAATTCATAGCTGTGTGTGTGCGAAAGAAGGAACGAAAATGAAATAATTAGAGAACAAAAACTAAAATGATATAAATGTTTAGTTGATAAAACACTTTAAGCTAAATTTCTGTTTAACAGCAAAATGATCTTAAAATGCTTAAACACCTACACACACCTTCGACAAGGATCTTATTAGATACAGATACATTTACTTACATAAATACATTTCTATTATATAGTCGTCATCGTTATCATTGTAGCAGATTACACAATTTTCTTTTAATTTTATTAAATGTTGCCATCATTAACAAAACATTAAGAAAACATAAAAACAAAAATCAATATAAATTTTCTAAATAATCCTCAATCCTCTGAAGTGTTCGTAAGAAAAGCAAAAAGAAAATAACAAGGATCTTTAGTACATATTAATGAGGTAAGTCCTATATAAACTATTCTTCTAGTCACTTAATATAAGATAGATATATAACATATTTAGTACTCCTATTGAACAATTTTGTACATCTCCCAATATATTATACTACAGAAGTACTTCTTCTCTTGGACTTCCAGTCTGTCTGTTAATAAAGGATACACTTTTCATACATACTCCCATTATTATTCCCACCATCAAAAAAGCAAAATACATGGAAATAATCGTAGACCCACAAAAGTCCTCCGAGAACCTCTAAGGCATCTATCGCCAGTTATGCATTTAGAAAAGCCATTGGGGAATAAGCCACAAGACACCATCATGGCTCTTCTACATGATAACAAATCACATTCTAATGTATGGTACACTTGTCTGGTAGAAAGCGTTGAAAAACCTCCTACTGCAAATATATAGATCAGCAGGCAGCCTCACTCAAGTGGTTCTAATATCGGCATTTAGACTCTATGTCTCTGCGATCTAGTAGACTAACCACATAGCTCAAGACTTTATTCTAGGGAACTCAATCTATACATCCGAAAACATCGGATACATTTCCACCATGCTCCTTCCTAACAAAAGATTCTCAGTTAGGATATCGAGTTAATAACTCTACTCTCTATAAAGCACTCGAAATCTATACTGATGGATCGAAATCTTTAATGTGTGAGGAATGGACTTTCTTCATTTCCTGATTAAATATTCGTGTCTGAAACTGCTCTGAAACTGTTATGGTATGGTACACATGTCTGATGGAAAACGTTGGAAAAATCCGCCTACAGCAATTATCAGAAGCTTCCCCGATATTATGGCCAATCAAGTAGTTCTAATATCGGCATTTAGACTCTATGTTTCTAGAAGACTAACCACATCGACCATGCATATATTTTAGGGAACTCAATCCACACATCCGAAAATATCGGATACTTCTCCCCCATGCTCCTTACTGACAAAAGTTTCTCAATTATGATATCGAGTTATCCTGATGATGCACTCGAAATCTATACTGATGGATCCAAATCTTTAATGTGCGAGGGAGGTACTTTCTTTATTCCCTGATTTAATATTCGTGCCTGAAACTGCTCTGGATTCCGCATGCAGGGCATATTGAAACATTAGTTGGCGCCCCACATTGATTTTAAAAATATCTTATCTAGCAGGTCTGTTCAGATGGTCATTCCTGGCCACCTGATCAAAATCAATCAGGAATGACCTGGCCTCTCTATGATGAGCAAAGGTCTTTAAGCTTGATGGGGTTTTCAGGATGAGGCTAAGTCTGTTGGTAGCCATCCTCACAGAATATTGCCAGAGAAAGAATAGGAAACTATAGAATACTTTCTGTGTCCTGCCTTGATGGGCATTAGGTTTTGGCAGACCGATGTTTCATGAACTAGCTGCTCTCTCTTGTGTTCATACAAATAAGATTCATTCGTGCCTCTGGTTGGTTCGATTCCATGTTGAACGCGGAAATGTTATAATTTATAGGTGGGTCGAGGTATGATCTGTTATAGGATAACACAACGAGACCAGTATATGGACCCAAATAAGTCGGTCCTTATTCTGCCTCATTAGCCTAAGTAGTCGAAAATAATACTCTAAAATATTGTTTCATACTCAAACAGGTTTTATAAGAACCAAAGTTTATCTACGAAATTTCATGAAGGTCGGTCCATATTTTTTTCTGTAGAATTCGATCAATAATTGATCCAAGCTCTTCTGATGATCATATTGATATACTTACAAGTATTGATATACGTACAAGTATTGACAGTGGTCATAAAAAATTCGGCTTTTCTAATACTTATTGATTTATTTTCTTATAACCACTTACTAACCCTTAAAAACCAGTCACGTAACTAGTTCGTTATAAATTTTCATCCTATGAAAGCAAATATGCATTTCATCTCACGATATTTTAGAACTTATAATAATAAACACAAACCTAGATAATTTCTCCTCCACTTCTACTGTTGACAAATGTTGTAGCCAATCACATTCAGCAAATAGAATATTGAAAACTCTTTTTTTTTTTTTTTTTTTCTTTAAAAAACAAATTTTGTAAATTGAATCGTGCCTTAGTGTCCCGATTTTTCTTGTATTTCGTTGTAAAATTCAAACGCAAATGAGTTAAAATGTTTTATTTGTTGTTTGCAGTTTAAAATTTTCTCATTTATTTTAATGTTTTTGTTATAAAAAAACGAAAAAGAAACAAAAAATAATAAGAAAATCTCCAGAAAGGAAGAACTCCAAAGACAAAAACATATTAAATGAAAATGTTGTTGGAGCTAGAGGTAAAGGTGGAGATGGGTACTTCTACGACAGTAGATTAATGTTGAAGTTGTTAACATATTAACGTCTTTGTAGTTAAATTTAAATTAACTTTTTTTTAAGTTTAGGCCAGAAAATAAAATAAACTCAAATAGTCTTTGTAAGTCGTACGTTAAGCAAACATAATTTGAAAAAGAATTTCCAGACACACCAATTTCTTCATTTATTTAATTTTTTTAGAGTTTGACAGAAATTCGCCGTAAATTGTTTTAGTTTAGTTGAGTTATGTAGGAAATAAATAGTTTAATTTTTCTAAATTCTTTCTATTGTGGGTGTTAAAAGTTGAGGGTAACGCAACTAGAAGAAACAAAAATACCGTTACTAGTTTCATGGAATCATAACAATTGTTAATGAATATGTTCATATCAGCACACCAACATAAATGACGAATCATGACCTGATATATAAGTTTTATGACTGACTGATGGACACTCATTGATTCAAATTTCAAATTGAGTCAATAGTCTAGTCTATAGTCTAGTCTATAGTCTAGTCTATAGTCTAGTCTATAGTCTAGTCTATAGTCTAGTCTATAGTCTAGTCTATAGTCTAGTCTATAGTCTAGTCTATAGTCTAGTCTATAGTCTAGTCTATAGTCTAGTCTATAGTCTAGTCTATAGTCTAGTCTAGTCTATAGTCTAGTCTATAGTCTAGTCTATAGTCTAGTCTATAGTCTAGTCTATTCTAGTCTATAGTCTAGTCTATAGTCTAGTCTATAGTCTAGTCTATAGTCTAGTCTATAGTCTAGTTCTATAGTCTAGTCTATAGTAGTCTATAGTCCTATCTATAGTCTAGTCTATAGTCTAGTCTATAGTCTAGTCTATAGTCTAGTCTATAGTCTAGTCTATAGTCTAGTCTATAGTCTAGTCTATAGTCTAGTCTATAGTCTAGTCTATAGTCTAGTCTATAGTCTAGTCTATAGTCTAGTCTTATAGTCTAGTCTATAGTCTAGTCTAATAGTCTAGTCTATAGTCTAGTCTATAGTCTAGTCTAGTCTATCTTAGTCTAGTCTATAGTCTAGTCTATAGTCTAGTCTATAGTCTAGTCTATAGTCTAGTCTATAGTCTAGTCTATAGTCTAGTCTTAGTCTAGTCTATAGTCTAGTCTATAGTCTAGTCTATAGTCTAGTCTATAGTCTAGTCTATAGTCTAGTCTATAGTCTAGTCTATAGTCTAGTCTATAGTCTAGTCTATAGTCTAGTCTATAGTCTAGTCTATAGTCTAGTCTATAGTCTAGTCTATAGTCTAGTCTATAGTCTAGTCTATAGTCTAGTCTATAGTCTAGTCTATAGTCTAGTCTATAGTCTAGTCTATAGTCTAGTCTATAGTCTAGTCTATAGTCTAGTCTATAGTCTAGTCTATAGTCTAGTCTATAGTCTAGTCTATAGTCTAGTCTATAGTCTAGTCTATAGTCTAGTCTATAGTCTAGTCTATAGTCTATATAGTCTAGTCTATAGTCTAGTCTATAGTCTAGTCTATAGTCTAGTCTATAGTCTAGTCTATAGTCTAGTCTATAGTCTAGTCTATAGTCTAGTCTATAGTCTAGTCTATAGTCTAGTCTATAGTCTAGTCTATAGTCTAGTCTATAGTCTAGTCTATAGTCTAGTCTATAGTCTAGTCTATAGTCTAGTCTATAGTCTAGTCTATAGTCTAGTCTATAGTCTAGTCTATAGTCTAGTCTATAGTCTAGTCTATAGTCTAGTCTATAGTCTAGTCTATAGACTAGACTATTAGTCTATAGTCTAGTCTAGTCTATAGTCTAGTCTATAGTCTAGTCTATAGTCTAGTCTATAGTCTAGTCTATAGTCTAGTCTATAGTCTAGTCTATAGTCTAGTCTATAGTCTAGTCTATAGTCTAGTCTATAGTCTAGTCTATAGTCTAGTCTATAGTCTAGTCTATAGTCTAGTCTATAGTCTAGTCTATAGTCTAGTCTATAGTCTAGTCTATAGTCTAGTCTATAGTCTAGTCTATAGTCTAGTCTATAGTCTAGTCTATAGTCTAGTCTATAGTCTAGTCTATAGTCTAGTCTATAGTCTAGTCTATAGTCTAGTCTATAGTCTAGTCTATAGTCTAGTCTATAGTCTAGTCTATAGTCTAGTCTATAGTCTAGTCTATAGTCTAGTCTATAGTCTAGTCTAGTCTAGTCTATAGTCTAGTCTATAGTCTAGTCTATAGTCTAGTCTATAGTCTAGTCTATAGTCTAGTCTATAGTCTAGTCTATAGTCTAGTCTATAGTCTAGTCTATAGTCTAGTCTATAGTCTAGTCTATAGTCTAGTCTATAGTCTAGTCTATAGTCTAGTCTATAGTCTAGTCTATAGTCTAGTCTATAGTCTAGTCTATAGTCTAGT